AATAAATGCGGGGGTTGGAAAAGGGGCGGGGAGTTAAAAGAAAAAGAATCACACACAGGGGGGGGTTGCACAGCTGCTCTTTGCATGACCTGTGCTTTGGAATTCTAAAGAAAGCTGAAGATTGGTGGATAATTTGGTAGGGTGTGCAAAAGAAGAAAAAAGGTGAATACGGGAAAGGTAAGGTTTGGGATAAAAAAAAAGTTTGGGTATGAAAATGAATATCAGTTTGGAGGAAAGTATGGGGATAAAACCGTTTTCAAATTTGGGAGTGGCTGTCAGCGGAGGGGTCATGAAAAAGAGGTAACATAGAATAAGGGGGAAAAAGGTGAGTGGTCATTTTAACTTGGAGACAGAGAACTTTGTCCTTGGAGGCAAAGAGGGAATTATGAGAATAGTTTTACCAAAACGCTTATATGGTGTAAGCATGTGATGAATTTCAGCAGGAAAGGCTGGAGGCAGTGGAGATGATGTCTGAGGGCAATGTTTTGGGTAATATAATGCAGAGAAAAACGTATTTGGGAAATTTGGAGTGCGGGGTTACCAAAACGTTTTTCCAAGGGGTGAGGAAGGGGTTGTTGAGGGGTTCGGGCATGAAAGTGGGGGCGAAAAAAGATAACTTTAAAGGGGTATCAGTCGTAGTGGAAGGAAGGCGGGGTAGGGTCGGGCCCGGAAGGGGTTTTTAGGGAGGGGGGAAAAGGGGTTTTGTGGAGGGGCTTGGGCTTCCACAGGCATGCGTAGGGGTTTGATAGAGTGAATGGAGACAAATGGTTTTTTTTAAAACTTTACTGCTTTGGAGTGTGAGCAAAAAAACATTTATGAAGGGATTTTAGGAAACCGGCAGGCCGGGCTTGATCCTGGAATGGGAATACAGGCCTGCACCTGAAGGGGGGGTGTTAAGTTGCAGTTTAAAAAAGTGTGTAAAGCACCCCTTTTGGCAAGACAGTGAGGGTGAATATGGTGAAAGTTTTTCTTTTCGGGCCACCCCGCCTGGGGGGAATCGGGCCCGGGGATAAAAAAAAAAATAAAAAAAAAAAAATCGGTAACATTCATTGACAACGGGACCCCCTTCTATGGCAGAAAAGACAGTATGCCAGGGGCGGGGTTCACTTACTAGGGCTGGGGTGGTAGCACGGCAACTGCGTAGAGGGAGCATTAGGATTTTAAACTAGGAATAGTTGTGGAGGGTTTTTTGGCGGGAAAAACAAAAGTCCCAGTGTAGTAAATTACGATTCGGGGGAACTATAATAAGCAAACGGGAATTTTGAAAAGCCAGGACTTTGGGGAAAAGGACAGTAATAGTTTATAAAAAACAAAAGAGCGGGAAGGGGAAAAGGAAAAAGGGAGATCTTTCAATTTTTTTATTATCAATTCCCGTAGTGCTGGAAAAAATGGACGATTAGATTGTTTGCTATGCAGAAACTTGATGTATTTCCCTTTAACGAGACGGGGTTTAATTCAAAAAGTCGGGACTGCCTGGGGAATGTCATATTCGGGGTTTTAAAATTTTCCAAGTAATAGAAGTATGCAAGGGGGGGGGGGGTGGCATTGTTTTTCCAAATCACTTAACTGTTGCATAAAAACGGTTTTAAGTCGAAGAACACATACAGAGTCTTTTTGATAAATTTTAAAGGGGGAATGAAAAACTGATTTAGGAATATACCGTCCCCAAACTTAATGGGGCCCAAAGGGAACTACTATGGGGGGAAAACTGTTAAGGCCAAAAGCACGATAAGTAAAATTCTAGGGATTTTTAACTTTAGTCAATTGTTTGGAAATTTTCTTGACGGGGAATTTAAAAACCCTACGACTTTTTAGAAGTAGTTCAGATTTTTTTTTTGAAGCATTTTTGTACAAACCCTACAAGGGGAAATAACCTCTTGACTTAGTTATGGCAAACAATAATCCCTTTTTAAATAATTTAAAAATTTCAGGGGAACGGGGTGCTAGCACCACAAATAAATTTTACTTTTAGCTTTAAAAGGGAATACGATAGTACATAACCAGTAACAGTCCCTTTTTCGCTTAGGCAATTACAGGGGCTTAAGAACATTATCATCGTTACGGGGTAACGAATAGCTATCAAAAACATTTTCTAAACACATAATCGCTCAAAAAACTTTATCCCAAAAAGAAATTAGACAAAAGAAATGACCCAAAATGGATAAATAATGGGCTAAAATTCTACTGGGGCAAAAGAAAATTTATGGGCGTACAAAAAGGGGGGTCATTTTATGAATCATATTTGACTTTAAAGGGGGAATTAAAAAGGGATAAAAAAAGAAAAAGGGACCAGAAATTAAAGTTGCAGGATTCTAAACAACCCAAAAAGTTTTTTCCAGGTCTAAAACAAAAATAGAGAAAAAAAAGGGCCCCTTAAAAATAACTATGGGGGACCTTACTGACAAAGAGAAGAAAGTCTCATTTTTTAAAAATATTTTTTCTCATTTTTTTAAACAGGGAAACACTAACAAAATTCCCGTAATTAATTTTATAGTGGCTAAAGATAAAATTTTGTAACATCACAGTCACTAGGAAATGGGTTTTGAACAGATAGACAACTGAAAAAATAAATCGCCGGTCCTATGAGGTTTTTTTTAAGGGTTCTTTAAAATCAAAATAACCTTGAACCTTAACTAAATTTTTTAATTTATCTCTTTAAACAGGGGTAGTGCTGATATGTGGAAATCTAATGTAACCTATTTTTAAAAACAGGGGAAAAAGTCGTTACCCCCTCAAATTACCGCCCAATAAGCCGACCTCAAGTGTAGGCAAATTAAGATCAATTATAGCTGGATTATAAAAGCCACTCGATAAGCAAGCTTAAATTTAATGATACTCAGCATGGATTCAAAAGGGGGGGGCCGGGGTGGGGGTCTAAAAAATTTTAAATTAAACTTTCTTCAAAAAAAGCTTTTGAGGCGGGTTTTGCCCACGAAAAAAAATTTGTTATTTTTATTAATTTTAGAAAAGGGTTTTTTGATAAGTTCCGCCCCATAGCCCTATTAAAAAAAGGGGCAGCTCATGGCGGGGGGGGAAAAAAGTGCTTCGGGATCGAGTCTTTGGCTCACAACGGGGAAGCAGAGAGGTCCTTAAAGGGGGTTAAAACCCGGAAGTGGGGATCGTAACAAAGGCGTTCCCCCGGGATCAGCCCTTGGGGGCCCGTTTTTGTTTATAATTTTATATAAATGATCTTGTGAGGGAATTACTGTGATTAGGCAAATTCCCCCCGAGACACAAAGATAGGTAGGTAATTGATTAAAACGTAATTTTAAGGGAACTTCAGGAGGATTTAAAAAAAAACCCCCTATTCTTGGTCAAAAAGTGGCAGATGCATTCAATGTAGAAAAATTTAAAGGGTTCTGAAGCTTGGGAGTCCCCAAAACCCCTAGAAACTTATAATTTTAAATGACGTAGAAACTTAGCCTTTACAGATTGAAAAAAAGGGCCTTGGGGGGTTATGGTGGGCAGCAACCAAAAACCCCAAACGGGCCAATGCCTAAGCTAGAAAATAAGGAAATAGTTTTACGGGGTTTTTTTTCAAAAAGTGTAGAAAACAGAAGTCCAGGGTCATACTGCAGTTTTATACATCATTATTAAGGCCTCCCCTAGATTTTTCAGCTCAGTTCTGGTCTCCATATTACTTTTGGAAATAAATTCGTTAAAAACATTCAGGGTAGGATGACAAAATTTTAAAATTCAAAAGCATTAAAAATCTTCCTTATGAAAAAAGATTAAAGGACTTTAAAGTTACTTTTCACTTTTTTAAGCCCGAAAAAATTGGGGGGAAACCCCTGATCGAATTGTATAAGGGGAGATGGGTTTTAAAAAAAGGGGGAAAATTAATAAGGTCTTGGGGAAAGTCTTTTCCAAGAGAAAACCCCCGCAGTAATGGATTTAATTAATAAGTTTAGATTTAAAAAGGGACATGGGAAAGGGGTTTTTGGAAAAATGGGGGTATTAGATAGTGGAACAGTCACCTATTGGGTTATTGAGGCTGGGTTTTTGGGGTAGTTTAAAATTTAGGTTGGATAAGTACTTTATTTGGGGGGGGTTTGGTTTTGAGTGGGACTTTCCCCATCAGAGCTTATTTTTTGGGTGGCCCTAAATTTTTGGGGGTTTGGGCAAATGTTTTGTTTTGGGATGAATTGTAAAGGACCTGTTTGTAGGGGCCAACAGGCCTCCTGCAGTGTTCCTCCTTTCTTATGTTCTTATGTTCTTAAGAATCATTATGTGAGTCAAGAGCCTTCAGTGATGATACAGAATCAATAATAATCATAGAGTCAAGCTCAGTGTCATCAGTTAGTTTTAGCACTATAAGGATGACAAACAAACAAGTTTGCAGTGCAGATGCCCAGTTGTTAATTCTTATGCATAACTCAACAAAGTTCGTATCATTCTTAACCAGGGAGGTGGCAACAAGAGCAGATGCAGCCAGTAGAATCCTGCTTGGATCCATCAGTTTATATAAATTCTTGCAAACCATTACTAACAGTTAAAAAATTTTTTTTTGAGCAGTTGCTTTTGAAATAGATTTAAGGAAGGGGTTACTAATGATGAACTTTTTGGGAGGGGCTTGCAGGTATGTACGTAATGTTAAATGAACACATCTACCATGGAGGGATGAAATATTCTTGTTGTATGCAGTGATACAGTTCATTTAAGTTATAAAACTTAATATAATTGCATGTTTTCACAACCAATTTAGATCCAGAGAAGCAAGCAGATTAACCAGAAATGAATACACACATGTGAAGGGAGAGGCTGAGCAACAATGTGAGAAACACACAGCAGCCATGGCTAGGTCTGAGCCAAAACTGCTTCACACCACATCAGAAGAAAAACTATAGAAAAAAACTAAGGAATTCAACTGAAGAAAGAGGAGAGCTCACAGAAAATCACAAGGAAGCCTTTGCAGTGCTGAACAAACAATTGAGTAAAATTCATAGAATATCTTACATGGAAATATATACTGTAGTCTAAAATTAAATATACATTTATACCTGTTATTTCTGTTTTCTTTGGCTTCATAAGTTGTGACATCATGGAGAGTATATCTTGACCTCCCTGCGGCTGAGCATTAGCAACGTCCAGGTCATGAAGGGTCACATCCTGAATCACTTCCTTCTTCTTATGCACGTCACCTTTAGGCAGCGGAACATACTCTTCTGCCTACATGAAAGATATAACAACTTACTGATACAACAAATCATTTGTAATACAATATCTCATATTTTAACGACTGGCAGTAACCCACTAAGAGAGAATGACTCAAATAAATTCACCAACACTCAATCTTTAACATAGCAACACAGAAGATTCTGTAAGTCAAATTAAATAATGAGTGCAGATTCTTTTTCCTACAAGCACTTTAAAGAATTTAAAATATTTCTTTTTGTTTTCTACTTTATCAGGTGTTTTACATCAAGGGAAAGTGGCTCAAAAAAAGGAAATACATTTACAATTGGATATCTAATCTTTCATTATTCAAATTTTTTGTTACCCTCATCATCTTGCTTATAAACCCAGTTTATAAATAAGTTAAACAATCATGGTGATATCACACATCCCTAAGGCCTAATTTTACTGGAAAATAATCTCCCTCCCTCCCTCCTACCTACATATTTACATGAAACTTATGAATTTGGCAAAGCGACGTCTTCAACGTACCGAGCAGGACTGGTAGACTTCCAGCATTTCTGGTCATGTTCACTGTGGTTACAGTGGCTCTCACTTATATTTTATAAACTTGTAATATTCTCTGTATATAGTGTGCATGTACAGGAAGGCCCTGTGTATTCGGTACCTTCTTTTTGATGTTCCACTTTTTCGTTGGCTTTCAACTGAGCCAATGTTCACCCTGTTCAGTGCTCTTACCATTTCTATGCATTTTTTGCACAAAGGGAAGGGTGACTGGCACCACGTTGTATGTATTGTATGTACTATATTTTTTATTTTTTTATCTGTTTTTTATACCTAACAGTATTGGGCCTTAATATGATGGTGTAAACACATTATTGGGCATTTAAGATGCATTTAATAATAAAAAACTGTTCTTTTCCACCTACCAGTGATTTTCACTTATCACAAAGAGTTGGGAACTTCACAGCCATGCAAAAGGGCCTTCCCTCCTGTATATACATACATACTGTGGTGAAGGAATATACAAGTAAACAATCTATGCCTGCTTGTTTGCATGTGCCTTCACTTGCCTTGCTACATTTGTTTGCTTGCTGAATTATTTATGCTCGGGTGCTACAAGCCATTAAACTACCACCTGTGTTCGTAATACAGGGTCAGTAAACATGAACCATGTGCGATGCCCAGTGTGTGATAAATTCACTCTATTGTCTTCAGCAGAGTCTGAACATTCCTGTAATGAAGCATTAAATGTTGAAGATCCAATGGCATTACTACAGATAGCATTGTCCTAAGACACATCTACTATATAAAGCCAGGCACCAGCATCTACTATATAAAGCCAGGCACCAGCATCTACTATATAAAGCCAGGCACCAGCATCTACTATATAAAGCCAGGCACCAGCATCTACTATATAAAGCCAGGCACCAGCATCTACTATAAAAAGCCAGGCACCAGCATCTACTATATAAAGCCAGGCACCAGCATCTACTATAAAAAGCCAGGCACCAGCATCTACTATAAAAAGCCAGGCACCAGCAATCTACTATATAAAGCCGGCACCAGCATCTACTATATAAAGACCAGGCACCAGCATTCTATATAAAGCCAGGCACCAGCATCTATATAAAGCCAGGCACCAGCATCTACTTATAAAGCCAGGCACCAGCTTACTATATAAAGCCAGGCACACAGCATATACTTAAAAAGCCAGGCAACCATTACTGTATAAGCAGGCCCATTACTAAATTAATGCGTTACAGCTCTTTATAAAAGGCACCAGCATTTTATAAAGCCAGGCACAGCATCTACTTATAAAGCCATGCACGTTCATAATGCAGGACCCGCATCTACTTCTTAAGCCGGACCAGCATCTACTGTAAAGCCAGGCACACATTATAAAGTTTCCACACATTATTTAAGCCAGGACTAGATATTATGTATAAACCAGGACAGCATCTATATTTAAATACAATCTTTGATATAAGCACACCACATTTACTTTAAACCGGCACCATACGTATAAGTCGCACATGCTATTAAAAAAGCAGCAACCAGATCCTATATAGCAGGAAACAATCCTGAAAAACCAGCACGAATTGTTATAAGTACCAGCATCTACTGTAAAAGCTGCACCATAAACTAAAAAGCACCAAACCAAAACAACTCACCCTTACTATATAAAATCACAGATCTATAAGCCGGCTCAGCATTACTCTATTCCAGACACAGCACTACTTTCCAGCGGCCATCTCTATCATCCAATCCTCATAATGTAACAGCCAACCCCCAACCATCCTTAACCGCACGCTCACTATAAAACGCACCGCCATATTCAAAAAAGAAACACTCTTTTAACGAGACAAACATTTACAAAGGCAGGCCCCATTTATTTATAGCAGGCAAGATACATTCACCACTCTCTTTCGACTAGCCAGACAAGTAGTATAAAGAAACTATAACATACAACCGCCTTTCACGATACACCTCAGGCACTCTTCTCATGTCATTCTGACTAAAAGCCCCCGATTGGCTGCTTTATAGGCGCCCAACCACCCGGTTCTTTTAAGTTTTCACGCATCTTATCAGGAATCATTCATTCGTTTAAGCCATTTATAGTACTCAATTTTACTATAACCTGTAACAAATTGATTCATTAAATGGTTAGTAATAGTCGTATCTTAAAATCCTTTTTAGCTTCTTTTTTACTAATATCTATCAACCACAGACTCTTATGAATTTTCAATTTACGTCACAGCAATGCTTATAGACAGGTCCAATACAATAGTAATGAAAATAAAAAACTAAAAACACAAAAGGTAGGATAAATAAATTTTATTAATTATGTATTATTCGGGACAAAACAAAAATGTCCACAGCATCTATATATGTCATCAAATCTTCAAGATTAACCACCAAAATACCCCTGATGATATAAAATTTAAAACAGAGACCGCAAGATTACCAAAAGGGTAATATGGAATTTCCAGTTAAAAAAGAGTTAAAGACACAAAACACAAATTTAAAACCCTTTAACGTCAAAAATAAGTATAGTCCAACCCAGATGCCTCGAATTGAACAAAAAAAAATTGTATAAGGATAATGATGTGGTCTAACATTCCTTTTTCATAATGGTGCAAAAATTACCACCAATTCTTCATTCCACTCACGCTATTCAATTAAAAGAATAAATAACGTAATCTAACATTTACGATTTAACTTAATCGATTACTAATGCATGTACCAAATAACCCCCAAATTTTATATGGCAACGGTCTTTTAATACGTGACTCATCAGTTTTCATTTTGAACACAATCTAATAGCATGACTTAAATTTTGGTTTAAAGATGGCTATTTTACTGTCCTATAATTTCTATATAAATTTCTAAATAATTACACATTTGGGGGGAGGTCATTAAATCCGCTATCTTCCAAATATGATGCCCTAATCGCCAACCACGTTTAGTGACTTGCATTTTATACTACCCGTGAAATTCATTTTCGAAGGGGACTCACAGAGCTTAAAATTAGGACAACTAGATTCTAAAGCTATAAAAGGCTTATAAGTACTCACTATTGTGACTTACGGGTATACAGTGCACGAATAAAAAGCGGACAAGCAAAAAATTGACTCAACCTTGTATTACCAGTAAATGAGATTAGGAATAAACTTGAGTCGAATATTTACGGTTTATACTACTGAAAAGTGACAAGTCTACATAAAAAGATAAGAACACGGATTACATAAGAATTCCCCGGTGAGTAGAGGTCTTATTATAATAGCAAGCTAAGCACTATGCAAATTAGGATAGCATAACTCCAGAAGTTGGAACAATAAAAAGGGTAAAGGAGCCAAAGCAGTATAGGTCTAATAGTACAAATCATAAGGGTTGGCACAAAAAACTGGTTGGGAAAGCTTTAATTCTATTACCATTTTGATAAAATGAAAAAAATAAATGCCCAAAACCTTTAAACCAATTTGTTTCAACAAAATATCCAATAAAAAAACCCCCAAAATTTGTCAAATAATTACCTTAAAATTTTCCCCCCCCCCCCCCAGAAAATAAAAAGGGGGAACCCAATTAAAGAAGGCCATAAAACCCCCCGTTTAATTCCTAAAAAGGGTTCTTCTGAATCCCCTATTTCCACATAAAAAATCTTCAATAAAACCCCTAAAACCGTACCCGGGGGGTTTTAAGGAGCCGAGTTTTCCATTTAAGAAAAAAAAGGGGGTTTTAGCAACTATAGGCCTGTTAGTATACTCAGTATAATATCTAAAATTCTGGAGAGGGCGGTGTATTCTCAAGTAGTTAAGTACCTTAATGACAACAGCATTCTCCATAGCTATCAATCGGGCTTTAGAAGATCCTACTCAACCGACACCTCCCTTATTAATCTGATGGATTACCTGAGAACTGAAATGTCAAAGGGGAACCTCATAGGTATGGTAACCTTAGACCTGCAAAAGGCCTTCAATACTGTCAACCACAATATAATTATGTAAGAAACTTCATGCTATCGGTATAGGTTCTGTAGACTGGTTTAAGTCCTACCTTAGCAACAGGAGACAAATAGTCAAAATCAACAAAACGGAATCAGAACCCTGCCATAACATGTGGAGTTCCCCAAGGTAGTATTCTGGGTCCCTTATTATTCTTATGTTATGTCAATGATATGCCTATCAGTGTCAAGTGCAAACTCCTACTGTATGCAGATGACAGTGCTCTGTTATTGACAGGTAAAGACCCACAAGATATTGCTAATGTTTTAACACTGGAACTGGAGTCCTGCAGCAAATGGTTAGTAGACAACAAACTATTATTACACTAGGGAAAACTGAAGCCATTCTCTTTGGCACGAAACATAAACTGAGAAGGGTAAATAATTTTAATGTTCAGTGTAATGGGGAGCCCATCATTTTGGTTTCATCAGTAAAATATCTGGGAATCCCCTTTGACCCATGCATGTCAGGAGAATTGATAGGGAACAGTGTAGTAAAGAAAGCGAATGCCAGACTGAAGTTCCTGTA